ACTTGTTTGGAAATCAATTTCATTTTATTTTGTACACTTCTAATTGTGAGTGATTTATAAAAAGAAGATTCCATGATAATCAATTAAATTACTAATTATAAATTAGAGATATAAAACATAACATGACTAAAAATAAGAAACTCTTTCAGAACTAAATTGGATTCACAGGATACAATATTCTATGCAATCTCGTGAATTTATATATTTTGTTAAAAATTCAAAGGTCAAAGGTCGTTCAAAGGTCAATATTTATTAAATATCATATCGTGCACTCTGCTTCTATTTTCTGTATATTTATGTTCTTGCATATTGAATGCATTGTTAAAAATTCGAGGATTAGGAATAATGGAAAGGGATGGAGGGGATGAGAAATAGTAGCATCGATTGAGTTTGCGCCTGTGTATTGGCAGTAACACGATTGCACGGCGTCAAAGCTACAGCGGAGAAACCATATGACGCCCAGTTTGTTACGCGATTCAGTTCACCACGCGGCAGTTTGGTAAAGAAAACTTTCCTCTAACAAAATTCAATATCCACCAAGTGGAGCCACGCCACTTATGTGAATTTACACTAGCCCTTGTTCGTTGGGAAACGATTTTTTAAAGTTGCCACAATCCGGAAAGTTTTGAACCAACAACTTGATGGATATTGAAACTCGTCTTTAACTCTTTCGTTACTATGGGCAAGATATCTTAGTTTCTATTACGTGATAAGGTAACTATCCCAATTTCTGCTAACTGGCTTATTATTCTATAATTTTAAGATACACTCTAAACCTTACCTTACTATATGTAGATCAAGAGTGCGAAGTCGGCAATCAAAATTCACGACTCCGACTTCATTATAAAAAGCTAACTATGCTAACAGTAAAGGCAAATTCCATTTTCTCTTATTTATTCTTAGTATATTATTATTGTATTATGTATTTTTAGTATTTTTATTTCTTTCATATATTTTATTTTATATACATATATTTTAATTGATTAAATATTAATTAAAGCAAGCATTCAAAAATTTCTTCCAAACTCCGACTCTGATTGCACATCCCTGCTGCAAACTAACATATTTTGTTTTCATCCTTGTTATTCTGTATTACGTATCAATGAAAAGTTGCAAAAGGAACACAAGAAGAGTTTTTGCCCAGAAACCAGCAAAATTCCCGTAGGATGAAATTCCGGAATAATAAAGTTAACTTAAAACAGTTTGAAAAGGACGGGTAAAGATTGGCTTTTAATTTGGTTGCCACGAAAACTTTTTACTTAACCCAATACTATTTCAACGTTTACTTCGTTGATTCCAATATTCTTGCATAATATTTCGGTTTACTTGAAAGTGGCTTATTTCACGGTATAATTAATACTCCCTTTCCCTTTGTTCTTTGCTCTCTAAAAGAAGAGAATATCATGCTCTGTCTCCCTAATAAAAATTTTCTCTCTCATCCTTTCGTTCTCTTAATATCACTCACACTATCCTATATACTATAGGCTGTCTCACAGTCTGATCCAATTTAACTGTGAAAATGCAGAAAATTTGAAATTAATTGCTAATTTGGCTCACATATTATACGTATTGTTAAGATAATCGCATAGATACTTCGTAGTCGAGGTGGTTAACTCGTTTCGACAGTAGTGCGATATTGATCATCGCCCGAGGTGCTCCCAAATTTACTATTATGTAGATATACTTTGAGGATAGCTCGAAAGGTGCCTCGAGTCGGGAAGATCGTCGCAGGATAAGCTAGGGACGAGCGTAAAAACGAAATTACGAATTTCATCCACCTATCATCCGATATAGTAGTATTTAGGTTCCATTCTACATAATATGCTTTTCTCGTGAAGTTAAGTTTGCATAAGTGCATATTTATATTAGGCACATATTTCCAAAAAATTATAAAACAGCCTATTTTATTTCATAGATTTTCACACAAAAAAGCAACTTTTATATCTCCTATTACTATGAATTTTATTGTCTTATAGAAAATAGAGTACTTTCTTCACATTAATTGAATCAACGGTGTTGATTGTAAGTCATTGTAAAAACTTTCCTAAATTATAATTTATAACATCAATTATTTTCTGTACAATAATCAAAAAGCTCTTTAATGAAATTGTAGCTTTTTACTTTACCCAACTGCTAATTGTAAGTTTCGTCTACGTGGCTTTTAAACGCGACTTGTTTCTGTGTAATGTGACAGTATGATGCATGCGCGTTCGTGCCCCGCAGTCCACCGGGTTCTCCGGTACCCGTGTCTGAGTTATGAAGGAGAGGTCTGGAAGACCGAGAGAGAAGACCCTATCTGGCGCGTTTAACATCCAAAAGTGCTCTCGAGTATGCACTCTCTCGGTCTTAGGCTATTCAAGGGTATCTTTGCGCGTTGCTGAATTAATATATTGTTGGGACGTGACTTGGCAGATTCGCTTGCCTTCCGGTGGTGTTAATTTCTCGTTAATTAACGATCGCTGCTCGTTCGGGCGTTTCGTTTTCGCTCTACAGTAAAGAATCTGATAGCATCTTCGATAATTAAGTAGAAACCGTTTTACGTGCAGTTTCTAAGCTTCTTATCAGTTTGTAAAATTTATCGCGAATCCATGATAAAATATTTAAGCCAGTGCTACTTCGATAATTATCATTCTTACTCTATTTGCGAATTAATTTACATCTGAAAAAATTCTATTAGCATTTTATCATTTTAACACACGAATTCTATATACAATGCTCTTCACTTGAATATTCTTGGATAAAAAATACAACCTCTGTCCCATAATGATAGTAGCAAGTGAATATTTAAACGGGAATTATTGGCGATTGGTAGAGAAAACCAATTTCGGCTATTCGAGTGATGCACTGTATAATCTATTTTCATTTTCACCTGATTCTTTGACAACCGCGCTCGACTACGTACTAACGCGAAGTCATCATGAATATTTCACGAAAACGATACGATGGGGGAAATAGTGAACTGTATAGAGTGAAATGCGATTTCATCTGACGACGAAGATATTAAAATATCGAAGAGGGGTAAATGAAAGGGAGGGACGTAAGGGGATTGCCGCATCGCCCAGCGTGTTCCCAGCGAGGCAGCGAAGTACGCGACAAAGAATGACGTGGACCACTATGTCAAGAAAATGAGAGGGAATGAAGAATAAAGACAGCTTGGCTCGTATTTCTGGAAACACAATGCTCTTCCTTTCTCCAAAAATGTTTGTCAAAAAAATTCCACAAGTACAGTGTAAATAATGATGTAATAAATATGTACATTCAATAAAAAATTTGGCACGTTTGGGTATATGAAAAAATATTTATTTTACATTGAATTTTAATAGTATTTATTTTAGAAAACTGTTAAGAGTCGGAGAATTTTCTATGATAACTATTACACTATAATAATATAGTTATCAAAAAGTGAATCTGTAATTGGAAAACATAACGGACCAACGATGTGCAATTTCGCTTTGTCGCTTTGTGAAATGGGATTACGAGGGTGGAAAGGATTCCTTGAACATTCGAAGATGAGGACAGATATAGAAGCTTGAGCAGCCACGGCTGCTTAGACAGTCTGAGCATCATCCTGATTCTATTAAGATCGCGACCCAGTGGGCTTATGCTCCTGGAGCATGCACTCTATTCCCTATGCAGAGTAGCTGCTGCAGGTGATAGATATTCTACATACTCCCGAAATCTTGGCCAACTGAGGTGCTACAAGCGTGTTCATTAAGGGTGTTAATTCTTACACCTTACTACTGCTTCTCTTTCTCTTCTCCTAGGTACAGCTATTCTATGCATTCATGTACATATTAGGTAGGCGCATATAAAATATCGTTACAGATTTTCCTATAGAATACACATACATATATCATGTATTTCATCCCAATCATTTATCCACAACTTTTACACATTCTTGAATTATTCTACATGCTCTCGAAATCTGCATTATACCAGTTGAGATGAGGTAAATGTCTCAATTTCTTATCCTGTCACAATTTCTACTCACTTGCGTATTTTACGATAATATAAATAGTTTGTAAATATTCAATGAAAATTAGAGTTTCCTCCATGAATACAGTAGAGTTTTCATATAACGCTTGATGGAATAACTGATATAATAGTTGAGGTCATGTTTCACATAATGATTGATATTATAATTATTACAATACTCCATATTCTAATTAATGCTAACAATGCAAACTGGTTAGCAATAATACAGTATCGTTCACTATGAATAATTATGGGTAATTAACCAAAGATGAACATAAAGTATACAAAATTAATGGCCTATGCTTGAAGCTAATTTCGCAAAGTGTTTCCGCGAACCGGTCGTAAGTGAATCACGTTTATTTCGCTTTTATGAAGAACGTTTCTACGTCGTAAAGCTCTTTACTCAGTGGTTTTTTTCTGTTACGTGTGGAATTAATGGAACGGGCGGGAGAGAAACTTATCTCTCCAGGGAAGGCGAAGGAAACACGAGAACTTGAAAGTAGTATATACCCCGATGAATGCTTTGATTCATGCGTCACAGGAAAAGGCCAATAGGCGCAATCATTTTGTTGATACCGCGCCACGCAAAATCCATTTCTTTAAAATAATCACTTCCGATGGCACACGAAATATGCAATGTGCAACGAAACGCATGTGCAATTTATAGATTACAGGTTTTAGTAATTATCTGGGTTTAAAAGTCCAAATGCTCGTTTAAATATGCTTTTAGGCAAATTGTCAGTAGACTACGGATTTTATACGTTCATAAACGGATTGAATGGGCAAGAAATAGAAACGTTACGTACAAAATGTCAAAAGTGAATGCATATTGTAGTACTTGTATGATAAAACAAATGTCTATTTAAAGTGCTTTCTTTTAATTGCTTAATATAAATATATTATTCTGAANATAAAATATTAAAGAGTATTTCGAAATAATTTGTTTCAACGAACTACAAGATAAAGTTATTTTTCAAATTATTATTTAAAATAAAATGTGCTCGAACCTGTTATAGAAATATAAGATTTCATTGAACAGTGGCTCTATGGAAATTTCTGGCAGTGGAAATTCTGGAATGGAATTAGCTGGGTGTAGAAGACTACGTCTGTGAATCTCACGCCACCATCCATTTCCACGGTGAGCCACTTACCCCAAATGGTACAAAATGACGGGCAATTATTTACTAGGACCGGTCGAAATAGTGAAAACTGGGGAAACAGCCGGTCTAATTTCATGCCGGAGTAACCATCGTGGTCGCGACCATTGAATAGGATGAAGCCGGGCTGGGAGTGAGAGCAGAGGCAAGGTGGGTTATTGCTGTAACTAGCTTTGTCAGTCTCCTATTGGAATTCCAACATTGTGTTCAAAAACGTCAGACATTCTCGATTTACGAAAATATTTTTATCAAATCATCGATAAAAAATAAAACGTTTTCAATAATTTCAATGTGTCGATCATCATAATGTACAAGAAGAACAATTTCTGTTTTCATTGACAGATTATTTTTCGTTAAACTAGTTCATTAATCAAAACAATGTTACAAGAATTTCTAAACGTTAAAAAACTTTATTATTTTTATTATTCTAACCAATTTTCCTAGTTACGTCTTGTCCACTTGTGAAGCATCCTTGAAAAAGTCGTTTTATTTCAATGTTAACATAAGAATGTACCCTTAATTTGCTCAAGATTCGTTGCATCGTATGGGACAATTATGTCGATTGCTGCGTAGTACGCGCAGGGGGAAACGAGAGACGTTTGATGCATTTCGTTGATCGTGTCGATCTACTGAAATAGATCTGGTATCTCGGCGAAATTCCAGAGCAACGGGTCAATCGGTCTAACCTTGTAAGAATCAGACACGATGCTCGGCCGTATTGTTAGAACAACGGTTAAGCGCGGTTGTGCGATTCAAGGATAGCCGAGGGGATACCCTGGTTAAAGGGACGGTGGGAAGGTTTTCGATGCCTCGCTTTGCATACTAAGCTCCGTAATATCCTTTGTATTATGCGAAACCAACCTTCTCCTATAGTCGTCGACCCTCGTGAACAACAACGTACCTACGGATCTACATATGGATCCGCGGCGCTGCTACAATCCCGTGCCGAGTTATCGCAATTTGCATCTCACGTGGTAATGAGTTGCTAGGGATTTACTATCACGAGAGGACGTAGAATAATAGGAAGGCAGCCACCTAGAATCTCTCGCCTGCTTCTTTCCTGCATGTACACCCTGTTCTCTCATTTCTCTTCGTGTTTTTTAAATCCGTTTTTTATAACCGAGAACACCGCCAATTTAAACTTTCCTAATATATTTGAATTTATGTCAATATTTTAATTCTATCGAAATTTATAGATTAAATAATTAATGTAATCCTAATTGTGACAAGGAACAAACACTACATAAAAATAATGAAAATAATAAAGTTAGAATGATAGTTTAATCTAGTAAAAGATCATTGAACAAATAATTTTAAAAAGTATACTAAATAATATAAAGTAATAAATAAATTAATTGTTCTGTTATGAAGAATGATTTCAGTAGAAGATACTGAAAAACCGTGTTAAGCTCTGGACATCACTTCAAAATATAAGGGTCGTTTTTAGCTAGTCGGACTGACTGTCGCTGATGTTAAAATAAGAAAACAGATTTAGTTCGGTGTTCATCAGGCTAGCTCTGAATACGTTGAATATTTTATTTCTTCTACGGTCGCGACCTACCGTGTCTTGCTTTCTTATCACGATAGACCCTTCATCGGTGCGTGTTGTAGTTCTACGTGCATGTTTCTTCTGCACGCGATAACACGTACCAGTGCTCGCATAGCGAACCAGTTTCTTTTTTAATGTAGCAATTAGACGAACATCCTGATAATTACCTGAGTAAGTGGGACCTAATTTTATTCTTCACTTTTAGTATGCTACAGGCTTTTAAGTAACACTGAAAGGCAATTGTTTAAGGTTGTTTGAGCCATAAGATTTCTGCCAAAAGTTTAAGACATGTAATGAAAGTTCCTTTTTCATTTTACATCATGATACAATAATAAATCTCATACATGGTCCATCCATCAAGTTACTATACATATATCTGTTGGAGGTGAAAAAGTATAAAATGAGCTCTTACGAATTTTCAAGTTTTTGTTAGAATGTTTGATGCATCGATTTGATTTTGAATTTCAAAGATTACAAAATGATGTATGGAAAAATCGATTTTCGATACTCTCCCAAAGAGTGTGAAGAGAGGTATTTGTACTTTCACAAATGCTTTTTACATGTCCGACATATGGTTCTCATTTTTATCAAATATGGTTACAAATAAATTAATGATTATATTCCATGCTTTCGTACTGCGAGCGAAGCCGTGATGGAAGTGGTAGAACTTCTATAGTAATCATTATTTTGTGAATGTATTTTTTCACGTTTTCAGAATTTCACGTCAAATTTCGTGAGATTCCCGGTCGCACACGAACTGAAATGATCTTAAAGACGAGTCTCTCTTTTACCGGATTTCAAGGGATCTTCCTCGTCTTCGACGGGAAAATCCTGTCGGCTTGAACGACGAAAAAGAATTTCATCTCGAGATCCCGTTGCTCGTCGACGACAGAATTGAACCGTGCGACTGGATAAAGGAAGAAGCCATCTCGTACACAAAACAGCCGGCTGTAGCATTCCTGACGCTGTCCCCATTGTCCTTAAACGTATTTAATTAAATTTGTAAGTTCATTGTAAGTGTGTATTTGTAGAAATTGAAGTTGGACGTTCGCTGTGTTGTATTCAGGATTCGTGTGGAAATAAGCATCGGTGATCACGATATAATTTAATATTTCCAATTGTGAACAATACAATTGTGAAGAATTCAAGTGAACATATATCTATTAAGATTGGGGGAAAGTGTGACTTCGTGTCTGTGCGATATTATGTCTGAATTATAATTGTATAAAAACTTTTTACTTGTGTACTACACTCACGACTGGTTCAATAAAATTGGTTCACGCTTTTTGTAATGAAGTACTTGCATTCCTCTAAGTACCAATCGTTGAGATAAGTTGAGAGCGTCAGAGCAAACGAATACGAGAAGGTTGAAAACTAGCCGGAGTCAATGGAGTTTTAATCAATAAAACAGCGTACATCCTCGAATCCCGTGAAGGGAAACCGAGAGGATGGGAGTTTCGAACGCGAGAGTTCTCTCCCTTTCCCTCTGTTGCAATTAAGGATAGGACTGACTGGATCGGATTGCAGGTTTCAATTCGACCAATATTCATTCCTCTCGCAATTGTCGCCGCGGCGTAACTTGACATTCAAGACTCTCGAAACGAGTCGTATTTGATATCGACAACATCTTCTCCCTGATTAACCTAGTGTTGTTTGGGACCTCAAACAGCGTTCGATTACTTCCGGTTTAAGAGCATTAGCATATCGGATTCAATTAATGATCGCGATATATGACGAAGAAAAAATAATTCGTTAAACAAGATAATACTCATTACGATATACAGGGTGGGATGAATGATAATAACTAAGAAAACACTGAATTAATTGATTACGGAATACAAAGTAGATTACATAATCCAAAAATACAAAACCTGCACATCTAATATGTATATAATAATTAATTGATATTAATATTCTTTTAAACATCTAATGCCATTATACAGAAAATTATATCAATATATATTTAGCCATAAATAATTTTAATCATTACTACCATGTTTTACAATTGTTTAAAGACTAAGGTTAAAAATCGAGCACATGATACAATGAGAGAATGTTTGATTCTTTAATGGACGTACAAAATCGAGTCACGTATCTGTTTCCCAGCTCCTCCTCTTTTACTCTCGTTCTCCGATCTCGAACACTCCGTGATACTTTCTATCGAAATTTGACAGGGGAATCAACTTACTCCGGATTTCTGCTAGATAAGAAAGGCGGCTAGCCGGAAATTGTCGAACTCGGCACTTTGTTCGTATAAAGGAAGGGTAAGGCATAAGGGACCGATCGTAAAATAACTTTCTGCTATAGCGCAACGACAGTTACACTATAAGAATCGATTTCAGCTACCCTTTCTCTTTTCGACACCTCTTCACGGAATTGGGAAACTGAACATTATCCGCGCAACGCTCAAGTACGCTATGATACAAGAATTTCAGAGTACATCAAAGTACATCTCTTGTGAAATAAATGTTAAATGTATATAAAATATCATATTAAGAAAATACATGAAATATGTTTTATTCGGCGTAAGTTTATTTTTAATAAGAGTGAACTATTTTAAAATCAAAGTATAAATTATTTTCAACAATGCTTCTTCTTCATTATGCATCAATTGTATTTGATAATTGTATTTGATTATCATTTAGTTCATTTTTATGAAGGAATTGTCTCCTTGGTTTCAATGTAACCAGAGTGCCTTCTTCATAGAAATTAACTACATCTATATGTATGCCTTTATTGTCATTTATTTAGCTTAGAAGAGATTAGAAGCTGAATAAAAAGTCATTGACTTAATCTCGTCTTGCGATACGTAACGCTCGTAATTCTTATTTTGCAAGCGATTCAGCGTATATGAAGTATACCTACTTCGTCGGGGAAATGAAATTTGTCGAGCTACGTACTTATTTCGTGAACCCGGAGAGGATAGTTGTACATGAATTAACCTCGTTCCGTCTTTCAACGAGGTTCGTGACTCACGACCTATGTAGCTGCTATCTTAGTAAGTACGTCTCGCAGAATTTCAAGGATTCGTGGATCTTGCAGTCATTTCCGCGACTCAAGCCGCTCGTGGTAGTCGGATTTCAATTACAGCTGCCTATCAGCCTCGTATTGCTTCGTTCTCTGCATGCATACAAAATTGTATTCAACATATGCATAAAATATTGTATTCAAGTATTCAAATATGTGGATAAAATATTTTATTAAATAAAGTACATGCAAATACGTTAATCAACATGATTTTTATTATAATGAATATATACACAAATTTTTATAGAAGGAGACCTACTTTAATATATCATCTGAAAAAACTTTACTGGATGATCTGCAACAAGAAAAATTTAAATACAACAGTTATAGGGTTTAGGGAATGCACTGATTAAAATTCAGTGTGCTTACGTTTTTTTATAAATGCATTAAAATCCGCAGTCTAGTCAAATATCAATTATTTCTCAAGTTTTTCTTATCACAGTAGACACAGAGTTAGTATTACCAAGTCTTCCAAGGCCTTTTAGGTCGTCGGAACAAGACGTGCTATTCTGATTAATTAAACTGCGACTTAAATCTTCGTTGAATTGAACTGTTGTCCGAGCTTTTAATTCGTTTTCCATTAAAGGTTTTACAAAATTCTGATCGTGCGATGTTTCGCATTTGCTAGTCGGCAAATAAATAACCGATAAAATGGTCGTTGCATCATTCATTTCGTTTCCGCCGGATTTTCGACGCGGTGACAGGGACTTTCCATTTCGGAGTACCGAATGTACCGAATTGACTTTCGAATTGGCTCGCGCGAAAACAACCGAACGCGCCCGTGCTTGCATGATAATGCGATTTTTCAATACTGTGCAAACGCGGGATGCCATTTAACTGTTAAATATTCAGAAATTAATTGATTTCGTCACATCAAGACATTTTTCTTTGGAAATGCTTGAAACCTTTTTGTCAAAAGTCTTCGAGCACGCTTATTGAATTTACATTTTAATTTTCCGCGATCCCTTGACTCTTGGTTTATCACATTACATCTTTCAAAGATGAGGAGCTTCCTCGTTTGCATTAACATCGTTTGAGTTACGTCCAATCTACATTTCCTCTCTCTCTTTTCTCGCTGTAGAAATAAAAGCAAAGTGCATTAGGGAAACGAGAATGATCCCTTTGCATTACTTCTTTCGTAGGAACACTTTTTTATCAATAATAAAAATCGAGCACATGATACAATGAGAGAATGTTTGATTCTTTAATGGACGTACAAAATCGAGTCACGTATCTGTTTCCCAGCTCCTCCTCTTTTACTCTCGTTCTCCGATCTCGAACACTCCGTGATACTTTCTATCGAAATTTGACAGGGGAATCAACTTACTCCGGATTTCTGCTAGATAAGAAAGGCGGCTAGCCGGAAATTGTCGAACTCGGCACTTTGTTCGTATAAAGGAAGGGTAAGGCATAAGGGACCGATCGTAAAATAACTTTCTGCTATAGCGCAACGACAGTTACACTATAAGAATCGATTTCAGCTACCCTTTATCTTTTCGACACCTCTTCACGGAATTGGGAAACTGAACATTATCCGCGCAACGCTCAAGTACGCTATGATACAAGAATTTCAGAGTACATCAAAGTACATCTCTTGTGAAATAAATGTTAAATGTATATAAAATATCATATTAATAAAATACATGAAATATGTTTTATTCGGCGTAAGTTTATTTTTAATAAGAGTGAACTATTTTAAAATCAAAGTATAAATTATTTTCAACAATGCTTCTTCTTCATTATGCATCAATTGTATTTGATAATTGTATTTGATTATCATTTAGTTCATTTTTATGAAGGAATTGTCTCCTTGGTTTCAATGTAACCAGAGTGCCTTCTTCATAGAAATTAACTACATCTATATGTATGCCTTTATTGTCATTTATTTAGCTTAGAAGAGATTAGAAGCTGAATAAAAAGTCATTGACTTAATCTCGTCTTGCGATACGTAACGCTCGTAATTCTTATTTTGCAAGCGATTCAGCGTATATGAAGTATACCTACTTCGTCGGGGAAATGAAATTTGTCGAGCTACGTACTTATTTCGTGAACCCGGAGAGGATAGTTGTACATGAATTAACCTCGTTCCGTCTTTCAACGAGGTTCGTGACTCACGACCTATGTAGCTGCTATCTTAGTAAGTACGTCTCGCAGAATTTCAAGGATTCGTGGATCTTGCAGTCATTTCCGCGACTCAAGCCGCTCGTGGTAGTCGGATTTCAATTACAGCTGCCTATCAGCCTCGTATTGCTTCGTTCTCTGCATGCATACAAAATTGTATTCAACATATGCATAAAATATTGTATTCAAGTATTCAAATATGTGGATAAAATATTTTATTAAATAAAGTACATGCAAATACGTTAATCAACATGATTTTTATTATAATGAATATATACACAAATTTTTATAGAAGGAGACCTACTTTAATATATCATCTGAAAAAACTTTACTGGATGATCTGCAACAAGAAAAATTTAAATACAACAGTTATAGGGTTTAGGGAGTGCACTGATTAAAATTCAGTATGCTTACGTTTTTTATAAATGCATTAAAATCCGCAGTCTAGTCAAATATCAATTATTTCTCAAGTTTTTCTTATCACAGTAGACACAGAGTTAGTATTACCAAGTCTTCCAAGGCCTTTTAGGTCGTCGGAACAAGACGTGCTATTCTGATTAATTAAACTGCGACTTAAATCTTCGTTGAATTGAACTGTTGTCCGAGCTTTTAATTCGTTTTCCATTAAAGGTTTTACAAAATTCTGATCGTGCGATGTTTCGCATTTGCTAGTCGGCAAATAAATAACCGATAAAATGGTCGTTGCATCATTCATTTCGTTTCCGCCGGATTTTCGACGCGGTGACAGGGACTTTCCATTTCGGAGTACCGAATGTACCGAATTGACTTTCGAATTGGCTCGCGCGAAAACAACCGAACGCGCCCGTGCTTGCATGATAATGCGATTTTTCAATACTGTGCAAACGCGGGATGCCATTTAACTGTTAAATATTCAGAAATTAATTGATTTCGTCACATCAAGACATTTTTCTTTGGAAATGCTTGAAACCTTTTTGTCAAAAGTCTTCGAGCACGCTTATTGAATTTACATTTTAATTTTCCGCGATCCCTTGACTCTTGGTTTATCACATTACATCTTTCAAAGATGAGGAGCTTCCTCGTTTGCATTAACATCGTTTGAGTTACGTCCAATCTACATTTCCTCTCTCTCTTTTCTCGCTGTAGAAATAAAAGCAAAGTGCAT